ATTTTGATATTAGTCAATATAATGGTACTGCAGATATAATTTTTGTCTTTACTAGGTTTTGGAGGTAATCAGGAACACATGATATAATCTCTTTATTTGGTTGTGTAATCTCTGTTATACACAGCCAACCCTTCTATAATTCTTTCATTTTACCTTCATGTATACTTCAGTATTTACCCTCCTGTTCGTGAATTTTTTAAAGATGAATATTGCTTTCACACTGAAAATTCCTCTACTTTCCTTCTTAGCAGGTAATTTTCTTTTACAATGGTGACAAATTCTATAATTATATTTTAATTATAAGTGCCATCCCTAAAACTCTTGATTTTAATTTAATGAAGTTTATGTCTTGATAAGCTGAAAAAATAATCATTTTTTAAAAATCTGTATCTTCTTCCATCTTTTGCCTTTGTTGACCTTTCTATTGCTGCAATTTCTAGCACACTTATAAAACAATATATTAGTGTAGATTAGTGGAACACAAGTAAAAGCCTTCTTTTGATGTATCCTAACTTTAAAGCAATAAATATTTGTGTTTATGTTCTTCTGAGTGAATATGGGACTATAATACTTCTTGTCCTACCAAGTTAGTTAAAAGTGGGGCATGAACTTCACTAAATAAGTATGTGGCATTTGCTAACGCAGTGTAGGAACTAGACATATGTCATCCCAACAAAGCATGACTTATAAAGTACTCATTTGCCTTGACCATTCCATGCATTTTTTTTGTGTATAGACGTCTGTGAATATTTATATTGCTTCTAATTTCCTACATTATTTCCTAATGTGAATGATAATTCCTACCAACAATAGGAACAATAGTTCCTCTTTTTGTGTCGTGCTGGATATTTCCACTTATATTATTGGACTCCCCCACCACCAATTACATTTCCCCTTTTTTTCTCGTTTGTAATGCCAGTTGATCAAGTCACCTAATCTCTAAAAAACAAATCTCCCCTAGCATTATCAATTACACAACATTTCTAGCCAAGAATTTCTCAGCCTGGTATCTTCAGTCATGCCCAGAAATTCAAATCCCATCCTGTAATAAATGTATGTAGCCACTCAGTGCCCATATTCTTCTTTTTCTTCTTATCCAACATTAACTAGTAAGAACTTTTGAAAAGCCACATTGCCTTATGAACCCTTCAAGTTTTTCTCTGAGATTTTACAGTCACTAAAGCTACTTCCCAGATCTCTTTTTTTTTTTTTTTTTTTTTTTTTTTTTGAGACAGAAAGCTAGAAGTCCCTTCCCCCTGCCTCCCCAAATGAAGATGGCTATGTTGAGATTTTGGGCACTCACAAACATACCTGGTATGTTTTAAGCCACCAGGACCAGGACTCAAACCATGGTGGGCCATGTAGGAGTTTAGCTACTTAATCATTATGCCTGCCATCTGCTGCACCTCCCCGCCCCTGCCCCAGATCTTTTATGGAAACATCATTCATCCTCATAGATTCAGAAGAACTATGCAGCAGTCAGTACAGTTCCAAGATCGAAAGGCTTTTTTTTTTTTTTTTTTTTGCCAGGGAGCACATGTGCTCAACAGAGAGACAAAGAGAAGAGAGAAAGGAAGAGGGGAAAAGCACCCACAATAGGGCATGGTCACACCGCAATCCATTCTTTTCTATTTCTTCATTCTGTTGGGATTTTTGGCATGCACGCGCACACATCCAGCGTTTCTCAAGCCACTGGAACAGGATTTGAATTGCAGTCAGCCTTATGGGATCTGGCTCCCTACTAGATGGGTGGGGCTAGCCCTGGAAGGTTTTCTATTTTATTAACATTTCATGTGTAAGTTTCAGGAAGAAAGCACCCCTAATTGCCCTGTTATTATCATATTATGAGATGCCCTTCAGTAAGAGTACCCTTATTCAATAGGACAAACTAATCTTTGCAGATACTTATTTTCATTAGTATTCAAACTCCAGGGACCAGCAATTGGTATAATTGCTATGTCGCTGGACTGCCATGTAGTGACTATGGTTTGAGTCCCTGACCCAGTGGCTTAAACTCACACTGGGTGCGTGTGTGCGTATGCCCAAGATCCTGAGAGGAGAATGGAGGAGAAGGGATTGTGGTATGACCATCCCCCCCCGGGAGGGGGGGGTGATTTCTCAGAAGTAGAGTAGTATTCTATATAATGGGTGAGTAATCTATAATTAGTTCTACAGATATTGAATACCTACAGTAGGTATAGGCTTATAGGAGTCAACACAAAGTAGTGAAAAAATGGAGCTACTATTGTAGTTGGAAAGACATATTATAAGTAAGATAGGCTCTATAATGTGTTCTAGAATTATAAATAGAAATAATAATAAAGAAAACAAGGAAGCGACATATGACCTCTCATGGGAGTGATGGTTAAATTTGTTCATAGGGTGGCCAGAAAGGTCCTCTTGACCAGTTGGCTTTTAAGACCTTGAGTAGTAACAGAGCTAGGTAGGCTTTTTAAAGACTCACTCTTAGGACCAGGAGATGATGAAGCAATTGTGTCACTGAACTCCCACATGGCCAACCACAATTCGAATCCTGGACCCGGCAGCTTGAAATTCACACTGGGCACTTGTGCATGTGTGCTCAAGATCCTGAGAGGAGAGGGGGGAGAATGGATGCAGTGGCTATTCTCCATGGGTTGTGATTTCTTGCTTTTTATCTCTAGTCTCTCTTTCTCTCTCTGGAGAGCACATGTGCCCGGTAGCAAAAAAATCTTTCTCAAAAAAAAAAAAAAAAAGAAAAGAAAAGAAAGAAAAGACTCACTTTCAACACTTATCAGATATTTAATAACCTGAAAACACCAATTTTTTTCAGATAAAATTAAAATAGTAACACAGAATCAATCAACAGAAAACAGAAACTAAGCTGAGGCACTTTAAAAATAATATAATTCAATAGAAAAATAGTATGTGAGTTAGGAAAACAAATTTAAAATCCAAAGTTTTCATTAATTTAATAATGACACATTGGTTACTTAAGTAAATGATTTGAAAGGTAATGCTTTTCTTACCTCAGGTCCCCAAACATCATCTAATGGGAGGTGCTTGTTAAGTGCAATCATTGACTTCCAAGTCTGTGCTTCATGTGCGCAACCACTCTGTCAAAATATAACACACATTTGCATATCAATTTATTCCTAATTATTTAATATGTTTGATGCTGGCTAATTTCAGAAGCCATTTTAAAGCTGAGGTGTGTCCTGGCCTGTTCAGGGAAGCTGTGTTCTAAACTCCATTTTCTAGACAAGAAATAATTTTAAAAAATTATTATTTATGTTTCAATGTTTGCTGATATGCACAGGAATAACTTGACTTGACTGTTGTATATTGACCTTGTATCAAGAGGACTATCATTTACACCTATCCCAAATGTGGGTGCTCTTTTACAAGTAAGGAGGGTATGTTTTATTTTAATTGATTCCATTACTTCCATTCCATTCCAACTCTTATTCATAATATAAAACATGGTCTGGTCTTGATGTATTATCTTTTAATATATTGCAGGATTTTATTTAGTTTCATTTACAGTAGTTTGTGTAGGTGTTTTATAATGTTTTAAAGTTTGTTGTTTATTTTTTCTATGAGCAAGAAAGATAGAGACAGAGAGACAGTACCCCCAACAGAATCTTGAGACCATAATCCACCCCCAGCTTCAGCCAGCCTCATGAGGATCATGAGTACAAAAGTGCCCTGAATATTCAGGGAGGTCTCTGGACTTGAACTGGGAACCCTCCAATGTGGGTCAGCCGCACAGAGCATCTTGTTTTTACTGCTGTCTCCCTTGTTTAGAGGTTTTTAATTTAAATTTATCAATAAAATTGGTTCACAAGTCTCTTCTTTTTTAAAAATTATCTTTAATTATTTTATCTATCTTTATCTATTTATTTATTTATTTTTATTTGACCATAGAGGGAGTGAGAGAGAAAGTGAGAAAGCAAGCTGCCAGGTCTGGGACTCGAACCAAGGTCAGCCATGTGGGAGTCCAGCACCTTTAACTACCATGCCACCTGCCGGCCCCTTTCTTCTTTTTTACTAAGTGATAGGAAGAGAGAGAAGTATTTTTTTGAGCTAGGTTTTTTGTTTTTTGGCTTTTTGTTGTTGTTGTTTTTTGTTTGTTTGTTTTTGTGGCTGTTAGAATTACCGGCACTTATCATAGCTGAACCTTTAGTTTCTTTTAAGGTTCTTATCAGGTCCTATTGGATTCACAAAATGAGTTTGAAAGTCTTTCCCCTTTCTCTGGAAGAGTTTTTTTTTTTTTTGGTTGTTATTCATTTGTTTGTTTTAAGAATTAATTAATTAATTAATTTAGAGATGCTGTGCTTGCTGGGGAGTCAGAAAGAGACAGAAAGTGAAAAATAACCCCCCAGGAGAGGTGGGGGGTATGCTGCAATCCCTTTTCATCCATTCTCCTCTTGGGATTTTGGTGACGTATGCACATGTGACCAACCTGTTTTAAGCTGCAGAATCTGGGACTTGAACTGCAGTTGACTATATGGGAGTATAGTAATGTAACCATCATGCCATCTGCTGGCGCCTAGTATTATTATTTTTACATTTGACCAGAGAGAAACAGATAGAAAGTGAGACTTTCCCGGTACTCAAACTGTGGTTGACCACATGGGAGTCAAGTGCCTTAACCACTATGCAACCTGCCAGTCCCTGGAAGAATTTTTATAAGGCTGGAGAAAAAATTTCCTTATGTGTTTAGTAGACTTCATCAGAGAAGCCATCTGGTTTAGATTTTTCTGATTTTTTTAAATTGTGAAACAGGCAACTTTGGTAACTTGTGTGTTTCAAGATATTGTCCATTTTATCCTCTTGTTCATTGTAAAATTTATTGGGATCAGCAGTTGGCATACTGGCTATGTCACTGGACTCCCATGTGGTCAACCACGGCTTGAGTCCCAGACCTGCTGGCTTAAACTCACACTGCATGTGTGTGCCTGCTCAAGATTCCGAGAGGAGAAGGGAGGAGAAAGGATTGCAGTGTGGCCATGTCCCCTGGGGACGGGGTGGGGGGAATGAATTCTCGCTTTCTATCTCTCTGTCTCTCTCTTTCTGGCGAGTGCATGTGCCCTATAGCAAAGACCTCTCCAAAAAAAAAAAAATTGTTGATATAAATGTTTATGATAACTTCTATTACATTTTAATGTAATTCTAAAAGACTCTGTAGTGATGTCCCTCTTTCTACTTCTGATAATAGTTATGCCCCTTTCTCTCTTTTCCTTAATCAGTTCATTTTATTAGTCTTTTCAAAGAGCCAATTTTTGGCTTTGTGGGTCCAGTTTATTCTATGTTTGTATCTATTTTATTAATTTCCGTTCTTAATTTTGTTCCTTCCTTGTACTTTTTTGGGCTTAACTTTATGTTGTTTCCTAATGTCCTGATATAGATGCTTAGCTTTTCAGTCTTTGTTTTAGCACACACGAGACTATAAATTTTCCCCCTTAGGACAACTTTAGCTGACACCTGTGAGGTTTTTCTTTCTTTTTTCTTTTAAAGAATTATTATTTAATTAATTTATTTTTAAAATTTATTCACTTATTTTAATTTGACAAGAGAGACACTGAGAGAGAGAGGGAGAGAGGGAAAGTGAGAAAGCAAGCCAGCCGGTCCAGGATTCAAACCATGGGTGGCCATGTGGGAACGTCCAGGGCCTTAACCATAGTGCCATCTGCTGGTCCCAAGGTTTTTCTCTTTTCTATGTTTACTTATTTATTTCTTCTTTGAGTGAGAGATAGACACATATATAAAGAGAGAGCATCTCCAACAGGGTCTTGATGCCATGATCTACCCCCACCCAGCCAGGATCACGGGCAGGTGTGTGCCTAGCATACTCAGGGACATTTCTAGATGTCCAGAATATCCCTATGTGGTTCAGCCTCACAGAATGTTCATTTTGTTGCCACTGCCATTGCCAGACCCTCTAATGAGGTGTTTTTATTGTTCGTTTTGTTTTAAACTGCTATAGGGCATATATATATACTAACGAGGGAGAGAGAGAAAAAGAGAGAGAGAGCGCATCCCCCAGTGGGATGTGGCCATGCCACAATCACTTCTCTAGCCTATCAGGACTTTGAACATACACAAATACACACTTGGTGTGTTTCTCAGGCCTCCAAGGCCAGGATTCAAGCTGCAGTTCTGGGATCCAATGTGGGATCAGGCACTTTATTTTTTTTTGAGAGGTTTTCGCTCTAGGGCGCGTGCACTCTCTAGACAGACAGAGAGAGACATAGAGACAGAAAGTGAGAAATCACCCCCCAGAGGGGATGGTCACGCCGCAATCCCTTCTCCTCCATTCTCCTCTCGGGATCTTGGGCACGCACGCACACGTGCCTGGCGTGAGTTTTAAGCCACTGGGTCCAGGACGAGAACCGCGGTCGACTACATGGGAGTCCAGCGACATAGCCATTACGCTAACTGCTGGTTCCCATGGATCTGGCACTTTTAACCTAGGTTATGGGGCCAGTCCTCCAGGGAATTTTAATATCTGCTATTTTCATTGTCATTCACTTCAAAATATATTCTAATATCTGTATAATTTTTTACTTATGGCTTATTTGATATAAATGGTATTTTTTTAAGAGAGATTTTTGCTATAGGGCACGTGTGCTTGCCAGAGACACAGAGAGAGATAGAAAGCGAGAAGTTCAGTGATGTATCCACTATATCATCTGCTGGTCCCATATAAATAGTATTTAAAATTTTTTTTTTCTTTAGAGAGGTTTTTGCTATTGTGCACGTGTGCTTACCAGAAAGAGAGACAGAAAGTGAGAAGTCACCTCCTGGGGAGATGGCCATGCCACAACCCCTTCTCCTCCATTCTCCTCTCAGAATTTTGGGCATGCACGCACACGCACCCAGCATGAGATTTAAGCCACAGGATCCAGGAATCAATCCATGATCAGTTACGTGGGAGTCCAGCGATGTATCCAATATATCAACTGCTGGTCCCATATAAATAGTATTTTTAAATTTATTTATTTATTTATTTGTTTGTTTTTTTTTTTTGGAGAGGTTTTTGCTGTAGGGTGCATGCACTCACCAGAAAGACAAGAGACAGAGACAGAAAGCGAGAAATCACTCCTAAGGGGGGATAGCCAAGTTGCAATCACTTCTCCCCCATTCTCCTCTTGGGATCTTGGGCACGCATGCACACGCATCCGGCATGAGTCTAAGCTACCAGGTCTGGGACTTGAATCACGGTCGCCTACATGGGAGTCCAGCGACATAGTCATTACGCCAGCTGCTGGTCCCTTACATTATTTTTTATTATTCAGTTCTTATTAGAATACATACTCTGTGATTTCAATCCCACTTGAGTCTCAAGTTTGAGACTTACTTTATAGAGGACATATGATCAATTTTTGTAAATGATCTGTGTGCAAAGGAAAAGAATATATATCTTGAAACCATTGATTCAGTGCTCTATAAAGTCAAGCAGGACAAGTTTGTTAATTGTCCTCAAATTTTTCTCTAATTTTCCTTTTTTTTTTGGTCTACTGTGTTCTGATACTTACTGAAAAATTTGTACTAATTTCTTACACTCTGTGGATTTGTCTACCTCTAATTCTCTCGATTTTTTATTTATGTGTTTTAAAACTATATAATTGGCAACATAGTGGCAGAAGAATTGACTATGAAGTTCATCCAGGAAAGGAAGGGAATTAAAATGGGAGTCAAAGAGAGAGAACATGGGATCCTCAATATAGTAAAATTTAGGTAATATGAAAGAAATTGAGAGACATAGACATAGGGTCTCACCTAGATGCAAATGGACTTGGGGAATGTAGTCCCTATTTGGAAACCTTCTTCACAGCATTACCCCTACATGGTGGGTGGCAGGATTCAGGAGTCAGTTGTGATTGCTTTCAGGAAATGAGGAAAAATGATCAAGCAAGTAAGGATGTGGGGTCGGGGGAGTGTTATATTATATATCAACTGGATGACAATAGCCTCAAAGAAATGGAGTTTGACTTAGAGTGAAGAGACAATGATTTGGAAATAAAATGATGGATTAGAAAGAACACCAACTCCACATTTCATCTTTAAGTCTATGGGGTGAGAGAAAGAGTGCCCTTGTTTTCATAGAGCAGTAGGGAAA